AATAAAGAAAATGCTTCCAATGTTTCTATAAAAGTGGAATAGGTTTTTATTTTAACATTAATGATAATTTCTTCCACGTTTACCATTTGTAATTATACAAAGTATTATAGTGTAATAATTAGCCAATTTATGTATTTTTATAAAAAAATTTAGTTTTAAAAAATAACGAATACTAGTTTTCTCTTGCTTGCACCGTTTCTTATATCAATTTGCTGGTTTGAATATGATGTAAAGTTTTTTTTTTTTGCTTAGTATTACGGTGTCTAATGAAATTATATAGGAATAAAAAAAGGCAAATACATAACAATAATTGTGACTAAAAATCACACAACTATATCAATCATCAATGCACGATAATAATAGCATAATTCACATAAATAGATATTGCCATTTATGGCGCTTACGACGATCTTTGCATGAATTCAAATTTTTTTCGAGTAAACATTAAAAAGTAAATTGGTTCCGATTCATCAAAGTTTTACAATATCAAATACGATCCAGAGTATCAAAATAATTTCTATCCGAGATTTAACAAGTTATCCTTTAAAAATTTAAGCATCAAAGAAAAAAGTATAATAACTTTTTAAAAAAAATTTAACCCATCATCGCCAAAACCGAATTAACAGAATCTAAGCCCAACCCAACCCAAATAAATACAAAGAAAAAATACATTAATGAATAAATAATTAATAATATGCATAAATAATAATATTTATAAATTAGATGATTTATATATATATATATATATAAAGCGCCAAAAATCCGGCATCCTGACATCCTCAATTATATCATTATTAAACCCCTCATTATGGAACAAAATAGCCGGTAAAACTTATCAACAAAAGGTAAATACCCATCAAATAAATTTTATTTGACCACCACTCATATTCACTATTATTCATATTTCCATTCGAAATTGGAGTATAAGTATAACTTGATCTCGCGGTAGGGAATGGTGTGATAGTAACCGTTTGAATTATAGGCGGCACATAACCCGTAATCAAATAAGTTTGTCCGGCTGCATTTGTAGTTGTAATCGTTTGATATGATGCCGAGGATATTGTTGAAACAAAAGTGATTGGTGCGGTTCCCGTAATGAGAAGCGAAGATGACGACGAAGGAGTTGTGCTGGCTGGAAAAGTGATATTCAAACCGGCTGATAATACTCTTGAGAGACCAGTACTCCTAATTAAATAATTTTCGATAAACATCAAAGACCATGTACCACCGTATACTTCTTTTGTTATGTTATAAATTATTGTTTGAGTAGCATTATCGCCACTTGGGCTAAGTAGCGGAGCACCCGGAGTTACTGATATATTACTTGAGAACGATGCTTGTTGCGGGACTAACGTAATTGCGAGACTATTTATAGTGAATGAAGCTGAGAGGTCATTATATATAAAATACGTAATGTTTAATTGTGTGTTGCTGTTAATTATCGTTGGTTGATAGACTATAATATTTTGTAAAGCCAAGTCCACTGCTAAAGAGCTTTTTGGTGTAGTGAATAAAAATAACAACGTCACTGCTATTATAAACGAAAAATTAAAATTTTTTCTGAAAATTTTTTTTTGAGCCATGTCTTAAATAAATTGTTGCTTGATATTCGCTCAGTAAATGGTAAATAATTAAATATACTTATGTGGAGCGAACAGTCAAATTTTAGTGAATTATTATTTTTGGATATATAAAGGTACCTGTGCGGCTTTTTTCCGAATATTTGGTTTATTGTGCAATTGTCAGAGTGCCCACTTCTTTATATTCTTAGCCGCATGATTTGATTGGATGATTGGATATAATGTAACGTTTCGCGGCGCCACAATACTAATTGGCAAAGATTACAATCATAATTGATGATAAAGCGAAGTTGTGTAATAGCTTTTAATTTATTATTATATTCTTGAATATTATATACAAAATAGTATATATATATATATATATAATGAAAAATTTATTTTCAATACAGAAAAATTCAGGAAAATGCTTGATAAAGTTGAATTAATATTATAAGCTTTTTTTTATTAATTAATTAATTAATAGTTAAACTAAAAATGACATAGTTATTATAATTATTACAATTATTGCAATTATCATAATTATTGCAATTATTATAATTATCATAATTATCACAATTATATAATTAGGATAGTATTATAATTATCATAATTATTATAGTCACAACATGATATTATTGCAAAATGTGATAATGGACTAACAGCCATACTTCAACAAAACCTATCCGAGAAAGAGCCTATACATTTTATGGCCGATGATGTAGAAAACGCTGTAAATAATGTATTAACATACATTTTACGCATTCACGGCATTTTAATTAATGGACAAAAAACTAGAGTAGATATTACGGGTATTAGACCTTTCTTTGATGTTGCTGTACCCAATAATGTACCCGATAATGTACCCCTTTCCATATTCAAATCAAGCCCTGAAAGGTACATCAAAATTTGGAATTGAGATTGTCTATGCTTTTCCAGTTTGTGGATATCATACAGAAAAGAAATCATATGTACGTGTAATAACATGGAACCAATAGAATGTTTTAAAAGTGATTCGTGAGTCTGGCATGGAAACTGCATCTGATGATCTAAATAATCAATATTATTATCGTAAAATAGCTCGTGAAAAGATTACCTCGAGCATCAATTCATAATTATATACAATGAAAATTTATTACCTTATATTTCTTTATTTCGGGTTTCTGTAGATAATTATACCCCCATAAGTGAAAATTCATTTAAAGACCCGTTAATCGGTCCAACATTATTTCGAGATAGGTTGATATTTCTGGTGAGGAAGCTTCGGGTCGTGTCGATTATGCTATTTCGGGAGTTGTTGATCTTTTGTGTATCACCGAAGGGAAGCCTCGAAACATCAAAATTGGTTACTTGCAAAATATAAAATAACTTGAAAGCTCCTTCCATATGAATAAAAATCGGTCGGCAGATGAGGCATTTAATAATAAAGATTATGATTATCTGTATGGGATCGTATCAACAGGTATATATTTCTTTAGTTTTTCTAAAGGTACATACTGAATCTAAATCTTGCTCATTAAAAAAATATTAGGTATAGATTGGCATTTTATCATGTTTACGTCTGAAGGGATTCTTTGCACAAGCAAAAGTGAATATCAAATTAACCTTACAAATCGGCCATCAAAAAAATCGTGATTTGTTAAAGGAGAATGTAAAGCAAAAAATTGGTATAATCGTCGGCTTGTTGAAAGATCGGGCAATAGAATGTGATGAGCCTGATAATAAAAAGCGTCGTGTGCAGAAAATAATTGGGAATAACTGGGAATAAATAATAGATATTTTTTATAACTGTATTTTATTGTTTTATCATGTATCACGCATCTGTACATCTATATATTTTATTGTAAGAATAAAGCGAATATACATATATTTTTTCCGAATTTATTCTGATTTTTAAGAATTTTTCTTGGCAAAGTGATCGGCGTTACGAATTGTATCGCGCATGTGAATTTTTAAAGAGTATTTGATATTATAAACTTTAATTATATTTTTCATATATTGAAAAAAATGTGGGTCCACAAATGGGGAGAACGATTGACATTTAGCTCCGCTCTGCTTTCTGATGCGATTTGTCTTCTTTTTCTTTTCGTGTTGTTCGAAAATAGATTTCTTACAGCTCTTTCGGTATCAAGTAGCTTTCTCTGCATCAGACAAATGTTAGTTTTTGATGGTTTTTTTATTATGGTAATTTGCCTATCAACTTACTTGGAGCAAATTTAGAATACAATATGCATCTTCTAATATGTCACAATCATCAATATCGGCAGGTATCCTGCATCGATCTATCAATCCAAATCTGTAAACTCCGGACCCCATCCAATCCATAGCATAAAAATTCAATTCTAAACCTAAAAATCGAGTCCATTAGTAAGAGTATTATTAAAATTTCTTCTCATATTTAGCTTACCAAATTGAAGCCAGCCGAAAACTATGATTTCCAATCTTTTTTCATCGCGTACATGATCACATTCTTTTAATAAACGATTTATACTATCACGCATTGTTACCATTAACTTTACTTCGTCTAGGAACCGTTTTTTTCGACAGGCTGTAGGAATGCCAAATGGTCCTAGCCCACCTGAAACCTCTCCAAACAGAGCTTCGAATTTATTTGGTGTTTTAAGCAACGTCACTTTCATATCAATCTTTCTACTCATTCTTGCTTTTTTAAATGGGCCGATTTTTCATTACGCGCATCATTGCTCGAAAGAGCCTGAATGTCTCCTACGTGCAGAAGAATCATTAGTATCAAATACTTAATAATTTAGTAAAAGGAAACGACATACCAAGCGTGTTTAATACGATCAGACGTGAATGTTCCATGAAATAACGGGTATGACGATGTCATTTTTAAGTGTTCTTCCGTTAACATTTCTTGGAAAAAATGCATATTATTTTTCCTGTAACATAATGCAAAGTCAGAACGCGACGCCAAATAGTCAAGTTTATAATTCACAATTATACATACAGAAATTGTACATTCGGATCAAAATGTTTTAGATCTTTATTTTCACTGCTATTGTCAAGCATTTCACAGCTACTGTCGAAGTAATCCTGAATATCTTTTGAGGCTGATTCGCATTTCCATTTGATATGGTTGGCGAAATCTTGGGATAAATGCTGTATATCGCCTTCCGTAATTTCGTTGCACCCGTATAGACTTTTCTTTAGTCAGATCGAGCATTCCCCAATATGCAGGGCTACCGAAAGATAAGGTGAAAAACCATTAATAATCATACCATGATAATAGAAAAGACATCAAACCTACGTGAATACTCTGCGAGTTTTAGGGATTTCATTTTGATATTTTCGGAATGCATTTAGCACGTCACCACTTATAAATTTGGATGAATCCTATCGAAGATAATAATATGTCTACTGAATATACTGTATACTCCGAATACCAATATTTAAAGTTTACCTTATTATCATTAGCAAGTGGCAATTTACTTTTTTCGTCAAGAGCATCTTCGTCAATTTTTCTCATAAATGCCTCTTCATTAGAATCATCATAACCTGGTAATTCATCATCATCTAATTCATTTTCTTGTGCTCTTTTATGATTTCATCATCGCTATACACTTGATTAAGGTCCTTCCAAAGAAACATGATGATTAAATTGATGATTCTACTTATTGATCATACTAATCTTTAAAATTAATCATACCTGCGTTGCATCATCCTCTGCATAAGAATCTTCCTCACATAATTTACTGTTTAAGATTTCATCCGTCTGTTTCATATAACTTTTTACCAATACGCCCTTTTTCTCTGATCCACTTGAAAGGGTCGAAAATTCTGCTCATAAACGTACAACAAGTTCTCAAACTCCTTAGTCTCATTGAAGTTAATTAGTTCTTCCACGAACTTCTTGATTGCCTTTGGGATATATTTTTGTCCTTGAATGTATTTCAGGCTGGCGGCCCACTTGTCAAGAATTTCATGGAATGTTTTTGGCGCGTCTCCAGAAAAAAACGCTTAAACGACCAATATCGGGCATCTGTGTTCGCGAAGAAACTGTATTTCATACGTTTAAAGTGATATGTTCTGAAGTTTGAATCAACTATCGGTTCCTTCATATTTGAAAATAGGGCAATAATTTTTGTTTTTTTTACGCGATTTGTACGAATCACGCGGTGTCAATCATCACAGCATTAAAGATTAAGCATCAAATGAGCACCGATTTTTTTTCATCCGTTGCACCTCTAACCTGTCTACCGTAGTTGCCACGTAACATCTCCTGGATATCGGGAAACAGTAAATCTGTTAGGAACCAGAGTGGTAATTCGCGG